TTGTATATTAATATTAATCCTAACAAAATTGAAATGCCCATAAATCTAATCTATGTTGGTAAATACATGCTTTTATGAGCCCAATCAGAAAATAAGAGTTCAAAACAAAACTGATAAATAAATTAATAAAAACCCATCTTAAATTTGTACAGAATGACATATGACAAAATCGGTAAAGTATTAATTTATCTGACTAATTACACCAGTATAGCACATCAATATGTGTACAGTATGTTCAAACACACCTCTAATACAGGAATTCCTGAATGGAAAACCTGGTTGGGAAAAAAATCAAGAAATCAAATTTTAACTATGTTATCAAAAATCTATCAACTGGAAAGAAAAATAAACTAAAAACTTACTGCACTTTTAAGACTTGTCCAAAGAGGCTCCAAGAACTCAACTAAATAACTGCTTTGATACACTTCCAAGCATGCTGACTGTAAGAAAAAAATATAGTAAAAAAGTTATGTTGTATTAAATATAATGTTAATTAAACCATTTCAGGTTATGTGACTGGATGAAAGACTTACCAGCGTCAATAAGGAGTCAATCTTTGCATCAGTGATATCAGATGATAGCTTCTCCATAAGAAGTGGAAAGCAGAACTATAATTGTGCAATTGAGAAATAAAACATTTAATTTAAAGTTTGTACTACTAACAGTAATAAGCTGCAATTAACTAACTACTGACAGACCACTGGACAAGTGGTATTGAAATTGGTACAGGTTTGGAAGAAACAGCATATGGGGTTTGTACAACTGTAGTTCTCCAGCAGCTGTAGTTGATACAAATCAATTTTTTCCTTAATTGACCTTGGTCACTTTAGTGTCCAGGGTTGCACTCCATTTGACAGGTCTGGCAGGTTGGACTGTCTAATTTCTGCCCAATCTGAACCTGCCTGCCTGAGCTTGTACGGACTAGACTATCGACAGTATTCATTTCAAGATCTGCATAAGAGCTTTGAAATGTCAAATGTTACATACACTGTGCAAAGTAATTTCCATTCCTTTTGGCATTGAAAACATGTTGTACAGCACAACTTGCAGACATATCACAGACAAGGAGTTGACATTTGTTTTTGATTTGCACCAGAGAGAAGCAGCTCTTAAAGTTTGGCCAAACTTAGTTCATTGAAAGCAGTCTTAGCTAGTGTCCACTGGCCCAAGAATGTCTTAGACTTGACAAGACAATGAAAAAGGTATTCTCAATAAGTGTTGCAGTAGCAGTGCAAATGTTTAATGTCTATGCTAACAACAAATCTCGTATGGAAATGTGAAATCTGATAAGAGAAAAATCCTTTTCATGTCAAACACCAATACTTTGTACATCACTTGAGGTGACACTCATCCATAACTTTGCTATTGCCCACTTGTTTTTAGAAGAGCCATTGCTGTTACCTATTAAAATTACTTTCAAATCATAATAACCAACTTACTAAAATACTCATTTAACATCAACTCACAGGGGCAAACTGATTTGTAGCAGCAAGACACTTTCTCAAACTCATCACCAAATCATCTTTCTTGATTCCATATGGATCATCTGGAGGCTGAAAAGATGATGTCAAAAGTGTTTAAATACTTTCCTGTTAACCTATTATAGCCACCATTGATGCTACACCCTTTTACTCTCAGGACCTGATCCTCAATTCTCCCCTCTGGCTGCTACACATTTCCTTGCCAATCTGTCAATATAATTTAGTGTTGGTTCAAGAGAACTACTTCTACTTGATAAGTTTGAGTATTTCTCATTACCTGTTTGCTGTATAATGTATGGATAAATATATAGGGAGAGGTTAAGGC